TCGGAAAACGAAAACCGTTATTAAGTCCGGAGCTTTATAGTTAAAATTTAATAAAGTGTATAAATGCATTTCTTATAAAGTAGAAAATTGATTACTCGGTGATACCAATCGTTGATTGGATACTTTTGTGACACTGAATTTCATAATATTATAATTATAATTCAAAACAAGTAACTTTGACCACTAGTACATATACTGTAAATATAAATATATATATATGATAAATATCTGCAGTAGTGACCTGCAGGCAATGAAGTTAGCAGTTGAAAGGATTTTTACCTGAACTATTAATGGAGCGATAAATCACTCTCGAAGTTGCACTTAGAGTTTTGATAAATTTCAAAATATTGACAAGTGAGTTAGGAAGAGATTTAACTTTAGTGACATATTTTTAATGTAAAGTATACAAAACGTTTAATAATAATAATAATAATAATAATAATAATTTATATGATAAATAATTTTACATTATTAAAAAACCGGAAATCAACAATGGATATTTCCTTTAAAAGTTATGTAGTTGAAAAAATCGAACAATGCGCACCGTTCGTCGCACAACATAGTTTAGGTGATATACTTTAACAATGGTTGAACGGAAATAGTGTGTAATTATAAGGTTAAAGGAAATGTATATATTTATTTGGAGTAACTTTTTTGAGATGGAAAACAAGAATTTTGACTTTATTGCTACATGAAACTAAACGCCTTCGTGCAGGAATCCATATAATGGAAATATAAACTATCTTCTAAGTCTAAAATATTTGTCGATCTTACGCCGCTCATGTGATGGTGTGAAGTGAAAAACTTTTGACAAAGATTCTTCTCGATTCAAGGGCGACAGTGTTTTGCGAACACCGGTTTTTATTATGCACGAAATTCTAATATGGAAAAATCACACTGTTTCTGGGATTTTTCTTTTCTATTATTTTTTTTTTTGTTTTGAAAAAAAAAAAAAAAAAAAAAAGGCACCCTATATAAATAGCAATTAAAAGATTTTTTTTTTTTTTTTTTTTGAAAAATAACACCTCTCCCATATTCTCACCGCAATGAGCTTGTCCTTTTGTTTTGAGAGTAGCAACGATTCGTTCATTAGAACAAGTCCTTATTATCATAGTCCTCGTTATTCACAAGAGGATAGTGACAATGATTGGGTAGATTTGTCGCATAAAGGCAAAGGTCCGGAGTCTTGGAGCGACAGAATGTGGGATAATTCAGTTATATGTCAATTTCTGCGAGAGGAAACGAACATTCAAGATCTATGGGTGCCTGCTTCATGTCCTGCAAGTCCAACGCGTTTGCCGACAAAGTATGAATTACATGCAAAGCGGTTACCATTTCTAGCTCGTTTTGAAATGATAAGATTATCAAAACCTTTTGGACCAATAGAGGCTTCGGAAACGGTGTGGGAAGAATTGGTTGATCGTGTCGACTTCCATGTTTTTTCGAAGATATGTCGCGAGCAGCTCGAACGTTGCAAAAAAAATAACGTGCAGACAGAATTGAGAAAATTAGTTCCCTACTCTAGCTCATTATGGAAAGCAAGTGAGCAGCCCCTAACTTCAAAGAAAGGTTCGTCATTACATCTCATATTTTCGGCGAATGTTATTATGAAAGACCGAAAATTGCAGATGGAGCTAAACCCGCCGAAAACGGGATTATCCAAAAGAGTATACCGGATGTATACTTCCGAGAGGCTGTTACAGGTTAAGGTGGATATGAACTTCGAATCCTTAGATAGTCAACAACGAAAGCACTTAAAAAGTTTATTGCTAAATCCCTTATCGCTTGCCGGACGTACTTACGAGTTTTTATACGCGAGAGAAGGAACTTTATTTTACTTTGCGACAAGCGGGATAGATGTAAAGAAAATCTCGATCTGGAGTGCCATCGACAATATGCTGCCTATAGAAAGGAACATTCAAATGACCAGGGCAAAGTTTTGTAGTCGTATTGCATTAGGTTTTTCAAATACCACACAAACGATCACATTCATGCCGGATCAAATCTACCATGTTCCCGACATCGAGGATAATAGTGGTCGTTGTTTCACCGACGGGTGTGCTGCCATTTCACTCGCCGCGATGAAAAAAATCGCGGAAATCATGGGATATGACGAAACTCCGT